TTTAATTAAAAAAAATATATATATATTTTTGAAAAAGCTCCCTTCTGCCATGTCCTTTTATACTGGCTGCCAGAGGAAGGTGCCACCCACATTCCTAAGTCTTCTGGTTTCTGATCAAGAAAATCCCTCATATTTTAATTATTTCCAGATCCAGTCAAGTTGACTACCAAGATCGGTCATCAGTTGGCATCATACTCAGAATTCCACGGTGTCCTCAGGTGATGGACTCAGCTCCTAGCCTCTGAGAGCAGGGATCACTGAGCTGAGCCTCCCTCCACCTGCTAGTATCTTTTTACCTGGACTCCCTGGCTTACCCCTCTGCCCCCCTTGGCCCCTTCTGCCTCACCAGAGCTGTGACTGGACCTACTTCTTTATCTTATGTCACCCTTTTGTTTCTCCATACCTTCATCTGTCCTGTCAGCCCTTTGTGATTTCCAACACTTCCAGCTTTTCTTTGGTATAGATTTTGTTCTTTGTTATCTTCACTCTTCTCACTCACTGCATCACGGGGATAATTTCTGCTTGGCCATTGTGCTTCTGTGGTTCAGGTTTAACTTAAATATAAAAATAAACTTGGCATTTCTCATAAAATCAGGTTTTTAGGGTAGTGTTAAACAGCACTCCATTATTACAACAAACTTTCCAAAATTGTCAACTTAAAGAGATGAAGGGTTTACTTTGGCTCGTGGTTTCACAGGTTTTAGTCCATGGTCCCTTGGTCCTGTTGCTTCAGGGCTGTGGCTGTTATAACATTGTGGTGGAAGCCCATGGCAGAGGAAGCAGCAAGAGAAAGAGGAGGGGGGTGGGGTTTCAATATCCCCTTCAAAGGCAAGCTCACAACCTCACTTTTCCTGCCAGTTTCCACCTCATAAAGTTTCCACCAACCTCCAGTATTGTCAAAGGATGGGAACCAAGTCTTAAACAGACCTTTGGAGGACACTTATCTAAACCATAGCAAATAGATGTCATATTTTATACAACTATACAGTCAAAATGTATTTATAGTTTAACTTCAGTGCCTTGCCACAATGGGAGATCATCCCACATCTATGACCCCCCCTGCAAGGCTCAGGGACTTTTGCAGAAGAGGTTGGTGGAAAGAATGTAAGAGCCAGAGGAAGGAGTGGAGTGTTACCTGGAAGTGCCCTCTGACCACTATGCCGGCAAGCTGTAGTCACACCTCCTTCCCATGCTCATCAAGGAGTCCAGGGGGGAGTCAGTTACCCCTCCCACCCAATCAGGCAGCCTTAGCTGCATAAGGATATATAAGACAAGAATGCCATGAGGCACCTCTCTTGACATTTTGTGTGGCTGTCGGAAGTCACAAGATCTGTATTTGAGTTTGAACTTTCCAGCGCAGTCCTTAATTGGTGCCCACTCTTCTGTAAGTAAACTCCCACCCTATGCTCTGTCAGCAAGCCCAATAAACTTGTTAGGATTTTCAAAAAAAAAAGAAAAAAAGAACAGAGCTAACGGAAACCTTCATTATTCCACCAAAGTTGACCCCATGTAGGTAAATGCTTTGGTGTTTGATTTCTTATTCCTCTCTTCCCACCTTAAACTTCATTGTATATATATTTTATGTAGCTTGCTTCAAATTATTTCTGGAAAAATGTGTTAAAATTGCCTCCCTTTGGAATAAAAAAATTATAGTTTAAATACCAATGAGCTACAAAACTATACTAATTCAAGTATAAGTGTTAGTTTATTCTGATAGTTTTCTGCCAAAAAAAAAAGTCTCTAGTCTGCCGTGGTGCTATTGCTCTGGGATCATCCTGCTCTTCCATTGTTACCTATGTCTCCCACCCCAGGATGGGAAACTGAATTTTTCTACTTCTGCATGGTAGGCCATGATGTCACATAGTGTTCCAAATGTGTGATTTATGAAATGTATCTCTGGTCTTTTTATCCATAAATTCAAGCACCAATACTAGCACTGAATTTGGGAGGCGGAACCCAGTCAAAGGTGATTACAGATCTAAAAAGAAATCTGTCTTCACATAGAAAACTCTGTTCCCTGAGGATGTAGAAGGCCCGGCCTTGAGAAGCTCTGCCCAGAGCTCATCCACCTTTGTGTGGATGGTCTAGACATCATGGATCAAGCATGTTGCTATAGTTGCTGAGTATCCAGTCACTATGGACTTTGTGAAGTTAGTGTACTGGAATTGTTCAAGTTAAAGCCAAAGGCCATGAATGTTACGTGTTCCATAGCTTTTTCCTGCTAGGCCCCACTGAAGGTGGCTGAGCCAGGTCAGAGTGCAATCTCAAAAGTATGCCATCATCTCTAACTGCCTTTGCCCCTCTGAGCCACTTTATCTTGACTAAATGTCCTCATCTTCCTGGAATTTATGCCCCTCCTCTGAGAATAAGCCAAGGTCCTGCCATTGACCATATGATTCATAGCTGTTCCCGACCCTGGAACACTGTGTGCTTGCTCTTCGGAAACCATCAGATATTTCTCTTGGATGGTGTGGAATTAAATAGGATTTTCTTAAGAATGGAATTTCATGCTTTAGATTGCAGGCTGAAGGGTAGGAGGCCTAGAACCCACTTGAGTCTTCTTGGCAGTTTCTAAAGGTACCCCTTATCCTTTTTCAGGACAAGAGAGAGGCATCCTTCCAGAACTTTCTTCAGCATCTCTACCTGTGTGTATCAGATATACGTGAAAGTGAGTGACTCTCTCAGGGTCCCCTTTGTGCACCTAATTAAAAGCCCAGCCATATTTCCCACTCCTTCCTGCTTTGCTTCTCTCTATACCACTAATGACTGTCCAAGAGATAACTTGTAAGGGGTAGGGAACATAGCTCAGCAGAACTTTTTTAAAAATTTTATTTAATAATAACCACATGATTAGAAGAAGCATTTCATTATAGCATTACCATATTCAATAACAATTTCCAGAGCAAAGATGCATCTCTTTCAAAATTGGCTGTAAATTTTTAGGTTCACAGTTGAATTAATATACAGTTATATAATATTGAACTCAGTATAAACCCTATAAGACATAAAATTGAATGAGGTTTTAACCTTTAAAAAAGATCTCCATTTCATTTTAAAATATAGTTTCATACAGAAAAACTCATTTTTAATGCTACTAACAGATGTTTGCACATGCGTCTCTAATCTCTATGTATCTGATTATTACTGATTACTGTGATTATTAGTCACAGTCAGTTACACTCAGATCATTGGCACCAGAGTATGGATATAAAGTCATCAGGTAGATTTCAGTGGTAATGTTTTTCATCTCTACTAATTAACATGAAGCAAATTTTTATGCTTCTTCCTCAAATACAACTCATTTTTTTATTTGTTGATTTTTTTCTATTTCATATAGAACACCCCAAACAATCTTGTTCATCTATATACCCACATCCCAAATGGCACCCTCCCATAGCCCCCACCCCTGCTCACTGGAGCCCATATACTACTCTGTCATCCCTGTTACTGTTTGCTGTGTTATCGATGCCCCCAGCTGTTCCCCAGTGCTTGTCCATCCACTGAATCTAGTCAGCCTATCTAGAGTTCCTTGTTTTAGGAAAATCAGCTCTTCCTCATCTAGCAGCAATCAGTTGCCAATATTCCTTTAGATAAGATTAGGGTCTGCTGTTCATTTTCCAGTTCTATGATGGGTTACTGTCTGGGAGTCTCTTGGGCCACCCTGGCCAGTAACCCAAAGGAAAGTATCTCCTGTCTGGCATTGTTTCTTGTTATGTACCCTTTAGCTGTACACATGGACTCTTGAAGAATTATATTGACCCCTTTAATCTTTGGTTATTGTGCTGGATAGCTTTAGTGTCAACTTGACACACCTGGGTTGAGGGAGCCTCAATTGGGGAATTATCTTCATTGGACTGGCCTGTGGCCATGTCCATGGGGCATCTTCTTGATTGTTCAGTGATGTGGGAGGGCCCAGACCACTGTGGATGGTACCACCCCAGACAGGTGGGCCTGTGTTAAATAAGAAAGCAGGCTGAGCAGGAGCCAGGGGAACAAGTCAGTAAGCAGTGATCCTCCATGGCCTGTGCTCTAGCTTCTGCCTCTAGGTTCTTACCCTGCGTTCCTACCTTGGGCTCCCTGATGAACTGTGACCTGGGAGATGTAAGACAAATAAACCCTTTCTTCCCCAAGTTGGTAGTGGTCAGAGTGTTTTGTCACAGCAATGGAGAAACAAACTAGAACAGAAATTGGTACCAGAGAGTTGGGTATTGCTGTGACACACCTGACCCAGTTGTTTTTGTTATAGGACAGAGTTCGTTAAAAAATCACCAACACTGCTTTAAGAAAAGTAGCAAGGTAAATTTTAATTTTCGACCGGCCCGGCTGTCTATCTCGGGAGTAGAAGCAGCCCTGGTGATTGTCAGGTCAGAGTTTTTATAGGATTACAGAATTATTATTAAAACAGGACATTTGTGAACCAATCAGGTTTGTACAACATAGCAGAATTTTGACTCTATTAATTAACAACCAATCATTATACAGACAAGTAATACAGTCATATAACTTGGCACTCAACTTTGTGACATTAAAACTAGCCAACTGCTTTAGCCATAACAAGTAAAATAAGACAGTCAAGGTAAATAACTTCTAGGTGGTCATACAATAACAGGATAACAAGGGTGGTCTTATGCCCTGTGTCAGGGTGACCCAAGACAGCAAGCAGGTTACAGAAGTGAAAACAAGCTGGTTAGTCAGATGTACAATGTCTGGAATTATCACATTCCATGATTCATGGCAAGGGCAATTTTCCAAGGCCCAAGGTTGCCCCCTTTTCCTTTTGGTGTAGAGCAAAGTTTCTGCTGAAATGGCTCTGAACAGAATGGAGTAACCTAGGGAAGTTTGCTGAGCCAGTTCAGTTTTTGGGAGGATTGTGGAAGTGTTTGGAACTTTGGGCTGGAAAAGCTATTGAGTGCTTAGAGTTTGTTGCTGTGGAGCTTGGAACAGTTATGCTGAAAGAGTTGTGAACAATGGAGGCCTGGTTTAGGACCCTTCATAGGGAAACAGAGGCTATCAGGGCTGTTTGTGTGATACTTTGAATTGAGAATTTGTGGGTTCTGGTCAGCTAGGGCTGAAGAATCAGCTGTGATTAAGAAGAGACCAGAACCTTAAGTAAAACCTTTCCTTTACTGGGACAATTGATGCTGGTTAGCTGGGGCTGAAAATTCAGCTGTAAGCAACAAGAGACCAGCATCATTGTGGTGAAGTCTTCTGGGAGGTATTTCCTCAGGGTCAGCACACAGAGGGAACCTGAGCCTCTATCTCAAGCTGGAAGCAGGACTTAGTAATGTGTAAGACTCTCCTGCGTGGTTCTGGTGTTGAAAGCATGACGGAGTCACAGAGAGCAGCTGAGGCTTGGCACTCTGAGAGGCCAGGAAAGGACAGCTATAGGTGAAAGGGCAGCTTCAGTTGCAACAAAGACCCCAGGATTGAAGGGGGTCATGGAGAGAATCTGAGGCTTTGCACCCGGAAAGGCAAGAAGAGGCCAGTGGTGAAGGTGCAGCCTCAGTTTCAGTGGAGACCCCAGCTTTTTGGAGATGCCGGGACCATGGGACGACCACCAAGGACAGCAGTAGGTGTGGAATGGAGCTGGCCTGGGTCTGTGAAACGAGCTGTGTGTGCTGTGGACTGCAGAGTCAGAGAAGTGGAGCTGCCAGAACCCTTTGGAGCCCAGAAGATAGTGACTGAATCCCAGATGTCCGGCCTTGAGCTACTTTGCTGGACTTTCGTTTTGCTTAGGTGTGCCCGATTCTTCTCTTTGAAATAAGACAGTACTTGTTTTCGATTTTACAGAAGCCCACCCACACTTGAGACTTTTAAAAGAGACTATGGACTTTTAAATGTTTGGATTTTTTTTTGTCTTTTTGAAGCAGGGTTTTCCTGTAGCCCCAGCTGTCCTGGAACTCACTATAGAACTCACAGAGATCCACCTGCCTCTGCCTCCTAAGTGCTGGGACTATAGGCGTGCACGCCCGGCTATATTTGGATTTTTTTAAGGGCTGTGGGGCTTTTAAGGTTATACTGTCTTATGTTGTGAAATTAATGTTAACATCATATCTTGGGGACAAGAATTGGAAAGTTTATGGTTTAATAGTGATGTGTTTGTGTGTCTAGTTGACAAAGGGTCAATTGTGCTGGATAGCTTTGGTGTTAACTTGACACACCTGGGTTGAGGGAGCCTCAATCAGGGAATTGCCTTCATTGGACTGGCCTGTGGCCATGTCTATGGGGCACCATCTTGATTGTTGAGTGATGTGGGAGGGATCAGCCCACTGTGGGTGGTGCCACCCCTGGGCAGGTGGGCTTGTGTTGCTTAAGAAAGCAGGTTGAGCAGGAGTCGGGGAGCAAGTCGGCAAGCAGCATTCCTCTATGGCCTGTTCTCCAGCTCCTACCTGCAGGTTCCTGCCCTGAGTTCCTACCTTGGGCTCCCTGATGAACTGTGACCTGGGAGATGTAAGCTAGGTAAACCCTTTCCTCCTCAAGTTGGTAGTGGTCAGAGTATTTTGTCAGAGCAATGAAGAGACAAACTAGAGCAGAAATACTTTCCTTTTGGTTGTTTAGGACCGTACAGTTGGCCCAGATAAACCAATTTATTTTTACTCTTAAGGTTATTTGAGGATCTCCAGGGTCACATGGGCTTGGGAGGAGCCCCTGGCCCCTTTCTTTTACCAGTTCTATGTGAAGATAAGTCAAAGGTCCTACTTGACCATGACTGGCTTCCCTTGGAAGCATGGAAGAAATGTTTCCTCTGTGTTGACTCTCCTCTTTGTAGACTGGACACTGGTTCACGTCCATTTGATGGGGTCTCCATGGCCTCCTTGATCAAGAAGACAGATGACTCACCAGAGTTACAGGACATTTTGAGAGATGCTCATAGTCCCCTGGAACTTAGTTGACCTAGGAGGGAAAGGAGCAAAAACTGTCCTTTATGTCCCTCTGACCAAATTAGTATAGGCCTCAAAGTATGGCTGTTAAACATCCAAGAAGTCTAGTTTCACCAGCCTGGTACTTTTAATTACCATGTGCCATGTAGATAAAGCTTGGGCAAAGACCAAATGTTCTCGGATAAACCTTGCCTAGATATATATTATATCCCTTGAGCTAGCTGTATGTATAATTTGTCAGTAGGTTGTTTGATTAATGTGGTTCCCTCTGTATTTTTTTTTTTAAACTAGCTAGGCAATATTTATTTCTCGCATTGTCTAACCCTTCCACCATGATTTCCCCATTTAAAGTGCCCCCATTTTTCCCATTTCTCCCTTAATAATACCCTTCTCCTATGGTCCCACCTCCCCTGAGCTCCTTATTTCCTTTATCCCCAAGGTTCCTTGTATAACCCCCCTTTTAAAAAAAAATTTTTTTAGCCATTTCTCCCTTATTAACACATGTTTCCTACTGTTCTTTCAGATTCTTTTCCTTTACCTCACTAGTTCCTTTTCATTATCCTACTTCCTGTAGTTATGTCTGGATTCATACTCATAAGGATTTGGTGCTAGGATCCACATATGAGGGAGAACATATGTTGTTTTGTTTTGTTTTGTTTTCCTGAGTCTGTGTTACTTCACTTAGAATAGCAGTTTCTAGTTCCATCCATTTACCTGCAACTTCCATGATTTCATCTTTCTTTACTGCTGAGTAAAACTCCATCATATAAACGAACCACATTTTCAT